ATGCTCTCTCTGTTTTATCATCCCCATAACCGGATAACCCTCGCGGACAATCTCTTCCTAGCCTGCCAATTAACATTGTAAATGATGTATAATTAAATAAAATAGTATAAAGTATCTAATATAATATTTTAAGGTTTCCTCTAAGTGAAGTTTTGAGAGGCTGTCACGTGTCATTTTTAGTGTTAAAATTTTTTATTTTTAGTACCTTATTTTTACTTAATTTTGACATGTATCCCTCTAGATTTTATAATTTTTGCATTGGTTCTTTAAAATAAAAATGTGATATCAATATATTAACTTAAAGTAAACATTTAATTAACATAAAATTATCTTCATAAATTAATAAAAAATATATAAAACCATATTCTAATAGAGAATTTTTTTTTTTCAATATCTCTTTTCAAATTCTTTCAAATTTTATTTAATTAGAACTTCTGAAAAACTATCATATTTAGAAAATATATATTTTAAACTTTTTTTTGTTATTTTATATATGATCGTTTTGTAACGTATGGTATTAAATATTTATAATTGATACAACAATTTTGTAAGTTTAGCTGTTTAGGCGAAGCTTAACTAATCTTTACACATCCATTGACAATTTTGTACTAGATTTTTTCTCTATGCAACTAATATTAGAAAACACACTTTTAAAAAAATGTTATGAACTTCATTTATTGATGAGATAAAAATAGTTCTGAAAAAACTAAAAAAAAATTTATGTCACCTACGATCTTGATTTTTATATAGAGTATTTATGCAAATACTCATAAAGACATGAATAAAAAATAAATTTATATGAAAAATGATCATTTAAAAAAATTGTAAAAGCTATATAATTTTATATAATATAAGAATCGAATTCTGTAAACCAAATATGTAATCAATCAATTTCAAAAGCATTTAAATTTCACTAATTTTTTACGTGTGTTTATCTATAAATTATTGCATATTTCACTTTATAAGTTTTATCTTTTTGGTCACGTGTGGACTCAACATTTTTTCCTATAAAAGTGGATATAGACTATAACGGAAATATTCGAAAAAAATATGTTGAATTGTAGAGCAAAATTGAAAATATAGTATTCAAATAAAAATATTTATATATATCATCATATGGTACACTTTTATATTAAACATTTAAAAATGATGTTTGAATTTGTATAAATAGAAATTGTGAACATAAAGCTTAAACATCATTTAATTAAGTATATCAATCTATATATATATAATATTAAAATAGTTTTAAAAATTATCTAAATAATTGTTCCGCGCAACGCGTGAATTTTCACTAGTATATAATATTATGTAGTACATGCTAATAAAATGTGACCACATGTAAACATTCATTATGATAAAGCCTAACCCCAGGACGGGTCCTGAGATTTATGGGGGCAGAGACAACTTAATAGAAAATTTAAATTTCATGATTTGGAAGCCAACTTTCTATATATTGACTTTTAAAAATTTGGAAGCCAAATGTCTATGCTTAATTTCGCTCTACCAAAGTGGATATAGCAGAAGTACAAAACCCTAGAATCCAAGTGATTATTTTCTCAGATGGCGTAGATTCCTCACTCTTCAAACTAAACATTTTAAGGGATCAAAGTCTTTTTTGTTGTCTTGGGGAAAGATTGGATCTTACCTTAATTGCATTTGTGTAAGCCGTTCCTGGAAGCGATATTGGTAATGATATAAACTCTTTCATATAAGATAAAAAATCTTGCAACAGATAACGTCTTGGTGGATCTTCTGGTTTGATGCTCAAGAGTTGATTTACCATCACGCTAAGAGTAAACTGTATGATTCAAACCACAACAAAGATATAAAAATAAAGAACAAAATCGGTTATATTTAATTTTAATGATTCGATGATATTAGATAATTACCATTTAACTTCTTTATGGAGTTTGATTTCGGGACAATGTTTCCATGACTCTAGCATCGAGATAGAGAGGTTCTCTGCGAAGAGAAGAAACTCGGCTTTTGACTTTGTGACCTTGATGAAGCTGATAATAACATTCTTTAGTTTCTTGTGAATTTCTCCGGTGGCTAGTAGGACAGAATATTCGCCGAGAATGTCATGCATCGTTTTTGGATAATCTGATCTAAATAATTTTCCTTCGTTTTGAAGTATGAGCATGTTTAGTTCTTGGTCACACGAGACTATGGCTTTTCCACCACAAATATTTGACTTGAACACTTTTCCATACCTGAAAAAATACATAGTTTATACTTATCTTTAGAATATTTGTAAAATATTATGATTTATTTTTCTAAAACAAATATTATGTTATATTACCATAAAGCCGAATTAAAAATAACCTTTAATTGACCCAAAATATACATCAATATGAAGAAAAAAATAAGTTTTTTCCATTTTCGTAATGTGTTTATGTTGCATCATTGTAAAGATTAATCCAAATAAAAATCATATAGTTTTTGGGGAAGTATATAATTATATTTGTATGTACAATATGTATTATAAGATGATCAACTGCAGAAAAGAGGTTAATGACTACCGTGAAACACGTTGTTGCAAGAATGTGCCAATGGAGTCTGATCTATGAGGTTTAAAGAAAGAGTTTCTCCAATGAATGGCCATCCCATGCTACCATTTAGCGATGAGGGATGATCTTTTGTTCCATTTTGCTTACTTATTGAAATATAATAAATCAAAATAGATACAAAGACAATTCCTAACGGAAGATAGAGAAGAGCAGCATTGTCTTTATAATCAGATTGAGAACCTATGTTCATAATTTTGTAACTCTTATAATGTTTTCTTCTTGGTC